ACATAATTGGTATATGTTTCTTTTTTATTTTTTAAAGATAAGTGTCTTTATCGTCTACTATCAATAATCATCGGGATCGATCGGCGCAATATTTTTTATACTTGTAAGGTGTACATTTCGTTTACACGACCTAATCATCCATCAGACATCATTATAACGAACAACAACAACAACGATTCTTCTTATCATTATAATTATTTATAGTTAATTGATTTACGTGCTAATTATTAAGCAGCCAGTGCCGTTTCTTTTATATTTCTCGTAGAGTGTAATGTGTATCACTGCTGTTATCATATTTTATTAAATCTTTGCCATATAATAGCCCCCGTAGTACTCTCACCTTTTCACCATTTCATTCTCGTGCGAGGCGATCTTCTCTCTCTGAGTTTCGCGTCGCAGCAACTCTCCTCTCCTCGCCGTCATCGTCATTCTGGCCCTATGCAACATCCTTTCCACCACCTCCCGCTTTTTTTTTTCGCGCACCACCACAAACGACAAAAAGTCAATCTTCGAAACGCGTCCCCGTGGGCTTTTCTGCGTTGCGCCGCGTTTGCTTTAATTTTTTAGCAAAGGACTAACCGAAAAGATGGGAGAAAAGGAGAGGAAGAGAGAAAGGGTTTTAAACGACGACGACGATACTATCGAAAGGATGAAAAAGACCTTTCGACGCGCGGGGCAGAGAATGGAAAGGAAGAAAGAGGAAGGAACAAGTGGTTTTGGAGATCCATTGAAAACGCACAGCGCGTCGCTCCACGTTGCGTGACGAACGTGGTGCGCGTGCAGTATCGAGAGATTTCACGTTTCCCCACACGCACGTCCCAAAGCCCGCGTACATCGGGACGTATTGTTGCATTGCAACCCCGTAAATGCACTTGAGCACGCATATCCTCTCGCTAACGCCGCCTTTCCTACTCCTTTCACCTCCGCCTCCTCCTCACGTGCGAAACACGAGAGCGAGTAACGCTCGCGCTTTGTTCGCCAATCCTCTGGGTGTAATAAGGAGTCCTTCGCATCACGCGAACTCACGGTGCTCTCTTAATTTTCCTCCTTCTCTCAGAGATACGCAACTTCTTCTCCTTCCTCTTCGGCTGTCTAGCGTCGCGACAATTCGTTTCGTCGATAGAGAACGTGTGAAACATTTAGGCCCGGCACGCACTAGCGGTTCGCTTCCTGTTCGGTCAAATATTCGCCGATGCTTCAGAACGTAAAGCCGGTTTCATCCTAGAAAACTGTCTTTGGAAAGAATATTTTACCACCGGTTATTCCGGTCCAATTCCGATTTTGAGGAAATTGTAATATGTTACAGTCGAATTGTTTTTCAAAAAGAAAGGAAAAGATGGAACTATCTAAGAATATGGGAATTCTAAATAAATTGCTCTTTCGCAGAAACGAACCCTTACTCTCGTTTCGAAAAATCTGAGAAAAATGTATGTTGCAGTCTATGTGAAACAACGATGAGTTTATGTCATCGTTTTGCTGTGTTCAAAGTTATTGACAAACGATGACACGTGGAGGATCGCGAAGAAGCGGATTTTTAGCCAAACGTAGATGTGTAAACTAATTTATATTTCGAGAGCAAAGCGGGATTGGACCGCTAGCACTAATCGTACCGACACTTTACGTATACCTATTCTTACCGTAGGCGGTCAAATGACCGGATACGAAATATTCATATTTTTCCGAAAGGAATACAGGTGATTGTCAATTGAATATAGGAAACAACGCAGAAAATAGATAATGATAAAAAAAATTGCACATTTACATTTTTATTTTTAACAAGAACGGGAAAGAAACAAATACATGGTTTTAAATCAAATTTTAAAACCGGTCATTTGACCGGGCGTGGTACGTTTAACGCTAGTGCGAACGCTCAGAGACTTGACCAGACCGAGAGCGGGCCGCTTAGTGTGTATCGGGCCTTAACCGAGTTACGCAGTGCATACTCCTCTCTGGACCTTGCAGCCCTTCTACACTCTAGTTTCAGATCGACTGTTTAGAAAGTGATGTGTGTGCGTGCGCGCGCGCGTTCGTTACGAGACAAATCGCTGCAAAGCCTGGAAACCGTCAACTTCTTCCGTTATTTCCTTAAATATTGGTCGGTGAGATGTTTCTGTCCTAGCCGGCTCATGCGGGCGACAGACTTGAGGCAGCAAAAAAAGAAAACGAAATATCAACTTGTCTGTTCACCTCGAGGGAAATAAAATAGATTATTTCACACATAGCACACAGTTCAATAAAAAGAAAAAACAAAAAAAAAACGAAAAAAAAACAACTGTAAACAAAAGCAATGAAAGAAAATAATGCTATTTTTATATGTTGCATCGTCTGCCGTGGTGACCTATAGTTATACGAACTGTATATTTTAGTTTAATTTACTTTATTCATGATTCGTGTTATCGATTCGGCCATTTCGTGTTATATAGAACCCTCGCGTCGTCGTTTTATCTTTCGTTGAGAAATTACCAAACACGATTTTCACCGATGAATCGTCAATAATCTCGGGTGTTTTTACGGAAGAAACGTTGTTTCTTCTATTTTTTTTTTTTTTTTCGAATTCCTGACTGTTGACTGTTAGGATGTTTTCTTTTTTTATACTTTATAAATGGTATTAATATCGTTTGAATGGTGTCGTTAGAAATTGTGAGAAGCATTCTCGTATAATTTTCATATAGTGTTTGTATCATTTGTCCCAATAAGATTTCATATCATCACACATTAGCAGCTTAGAAATAAACGACAGAAATATTTCTGAAGATGATCCAAAGGATGCTCTTGCTCACAATTGATCTAGATTACTACATTAAGATTGACTATTATTGTATTATTATTACTATATCTACATTCCTTTTAAGAATCTACCACTATTACTTTACGAAACCATCTGTAAATAAGTATTTTGTATTCCTGCAAGAATAAAATTACGAATCATTAACCACGAATCTGATATCCCTTTCCACCGCCGTTAGAATCGCAATAATTCGGGTATAATTGGAAACACCAGTCTAGCTTTCAATTTTATTCCATTTTACCATAATATATTGTACACACACGCACACACATTTATATTATTTTCATAATAGTTATTCAATGTTAAATCAATAATATAATTTCAATTGCCAATATGTAAAAAATTATGCACGGTAATAAATGTGTTTACAAATTCTTTTTTCAATTACCAATTGAAGTGTGCAATAATATCGTTTAAAATTTTAACATTGACAACGAAGAAGAACAAACTCGCGATCCAAATGTAAGTAAAGGTATTCAAGCCTTGGAACTCCAATAAATAAGCAGCCAATAACCAAAGGCTTTGACTAAAGATCCATAAGAAACATAAGCATAATGATCTACGAATACTCAATTTAATGCGCCAGAGACACAATGGTAAAAGAGACAAATACCAGAAAAAATATTGCGATGTTAATACCGGATTATACGTCACTATTACCATGGCCTGTGTAAACATAGCAAATGGCAATTGAGATTTGCCTGAATATTTATATGATAACATTAACAACAATATCAGCTGCGGCAGAAACGTACACACTTTTTGGATGATGCTAGAAGGTTGGTTTGCAGATAAATACAGCATGTAAAAATAAACAGAAAAGTTGTGTTTAGTATCTTTGCGTGTAACGTGATAAATGAAACTTTCATAAAGATACTTATAGCCATAGAAATAATAATTTATAGCAGTTAAAAGAGCTACCAGCGATACGCAACTAAATACCAATTTTAATTGATTCTTATTTGGTATAAAATAATTCCATTGATGAAGAGAAAAATACATTGGTATGCTAAACACTACAGGATATAACCTAAAATGAATTGATAAAGCATGCAATACACCTGCGAGAATAAACTTATCCTGCAGGAACAAGTATAAAGTCATCATAACTAAGAGAACTGCCACAGAATCTGCATTTCCTCGGGTTGAAATTACAATCGTGAAAGGATTGTACAGCCATGTAAAAGCAGAAATACGTTTCATTCTTGTACTACAGTATTGCAAACTTAAAATTTTTGTTATCAGAATTGCTATTAAAATATCAACCAATGAAAATAAAATTTTTCCAAAATTTTCATAGATAAAAATATTTGGTGTTAAAAGCAAAGCTAATAATGGAGTATAACGGTATGTATGTCGCTCGAATGGAGATGAACCTTCTACCATGTGTCTCGCAGCATCGGTAAATACTTTATAATCCACATCGGTGTATGGAACACTGAAGGTTTTATCGTGAAAATTTGAATAAAGAACTAAAGTTACCCTGAGTAGGAAAGCTAATGAACAGTGTGCCTTAAGCGACAACCTGTCCATTTTAAAAAATCTAAATATACTACTTACGAAACAAATATTTTTAACATTCTTTTTTTCTTTACAGTTTTATATTGTTTTTTGCAGCAACTTTCGTTAAACATGCCTTAAATTCCTTAAATTCACTTTCACAATCATTTTTCTTCAAGTTAGACTTTGCCAATACACATGCGGCGTACTTAGATCCAGATTCATGGCACTGTGCAATAACAACTGGATACTTTCTAAATCGTTCTCTTGCCTTCTTTACTGCTTCCATCGTTTACTACATTTAAAACATCACATTATTTGCTACATACCAAAGTATATATATTTACTATTTATTGATACATTACTTGTGCAAATAATGTCAATTCACATTTATGTCTACTTTTTTGGCTTTGGAAGTTCTACTACATTGGTTAATAGGTAGACATTCCAAAGTACAAAACATCCTGCTCCACCTGCAAGCAGTTTGTATAGTAATTCCCTTGTAGATGGATTTAACATGATGAAACTACTTCTGTGCTGTCCTCTGAAATAAAACCAAAGAATAATGAATGAATACACATCTCAATAGTAAAAAACTACCACTTATGAAAAAATTGTGTGTTAAACATACATAATCCACTGTGTTGTGTTCGTATGGTTTAGAAGTATCTATACCGTCACAAACTGTTGATACAGCAGAATGTATGATGCAACACTGTCTTATTTCCTCTATTACAGCCTCACAACGTGAAGGTTGGTAGACGTTATCTAAAATTGAACAACCACTCTATAAGTATATAACCTTAAATACAATAATAAAGGTTAGAAACAACGAATTAATAATTTCAAACAAAATTACGTGCAAGGGACAAACCTTTTAAACACAGCTGCAATTTACATGCAAACTTTTTGCATGGATCAACTGCTGTCATGCGAGAAAATGAAATGCCCTCCTTAATTTATAACAATATAACGAAGTAGACTTATGTAAGCTAAAGTTCGTAAGCAATTGGATCGATCGTACCACGAGGCTAGACAAATAAAAACCATTTTTAAATTTAATAAATTTGTTAGTGTAAAATATACAAATGTAACGATTAAATTTACGACAGAAAGTACACTTATAAAAATATATTAGACATTTTACCGTTCACGTGATAAGCTTTCGACACAATGAGCAAAAATTTTCTGGATAACCTCTTGTATAATAAAATCTTGAAGCTGGTAGGTAGGTGGCACACTAAACGTATTCTCACATAACAGCAGACAAAAGAACTTTCAGTATACATATAGTCACCAACGAATGTGTTGTTAGGTTAAATTGTCATACCGTCTGCTAATATTAACAAACGTATAACAATGTTGGGAAAGATTAAAACAAAGCAGGAGAAAGGAGGTAAGTAGTAAATTATTAATCGATGCGTCACTTTTTCAATATTTGACAGTTCCTGTCACTACCTTCACTTTCTCTTATAGGTTATGTTTTTGTTTAATAATATTGTATATAAATATAATAAATCGTATTGCACATGAAAAATCTTGTAAAACACTTTACTAATAAAATTTAATTTTTCTGTGTTACACTTTTGTTTCATTATTTTACAAACAAGATATATTATTTTTTGAATATTGCTTTATCATTAAACATGCATTTACTGCTTAATATTAAAATGGGTAATTTTTTTCTAGAAATTGTTGCATATAGTGAAGCAGCTGTTGTAAATAATGCTGCTGTAGTAGAATATTGTAGGATATCAATGGCAGCTTTGTCAGGTGGTACAGCTGGTTTATTAGGGTTAACTGGATTATATGGTTTTGGTTTCTACATTTTTGCGGTGTTTGGATTATGGGTAAGTTTCAGAAAGTATTATAATTTTTGCAAGGAACTTCAAACATGGGATACTTTTTTTCTAGGCAATGTTATTACTAAAAGCTGGAGGCCAGTGGAAAAAATATTTTGTAAGCAGACGAAATCTTTTAACAAGTGGATTTTTTGGAGGCCTTTTTGTATCCTTTTTAATGTAACAAAAAAATACATTCAAGCATCAAACATTTATCTATATGAAAGTATTTTCCTTAATAGAAATTATTACAACCATACAACAGACATACGTATTGTTTTGGACGTATCCTTTTACGACTTAAAATATCCTAGTTTAAGTATAAGATATACAGTTGCTAAATATATTTGCAAATTTCACGTCGTGTTTGCATATTTTCCTTAATGTGGAATCAGATTTTTATATGGAATGGTGCATGTATACTGATTAAAAGGATATTTAGATTTAAGGGTTTATATTTTCTAACTAAATATGTCGTTAACTAATTAAAAATATCACAAACAATTGCCAATTGCTGGTCAAATATTGTTGATAAAGCACTATGTGATTTATTGTATATGTATGTACATAGAACACTTTCAAAAAATACATTTATTCCATCTGTTCCACCTGTCCGACTTTTGTTCATTATTGTACCCAATATGTAATTGTAGATAAATTTCTATTTATTCTTTTGTTTCTGTAATATACATATAATAAATAACATAGTATATAAACAATGTAAACAAAACATTATAAAATCCTAAGGATGAATTGTTTAATGTGTAACAAACTTACTGAACACATTCCTTTTCTATTTAATATTCAAAGCATTGTTACAATGAAACGATTTATTTGTCTATTGAAATGAATAAACGATAACACACAATGTAATCTCGCAACAAGTTAAACATTTCAATTCAAAAATAAAACTTATGTTTAATCCTCTGTACAGTGTAATATTCAATAAATCCTTATCATTACTTAAAAGATTGTAGCGTTTATTACACCGCGAAAATGCGGTTCACAATAATATTGCTTTGTACTTAACATGCTCACATTTTTCTTCCATTCTTTTGTTAAATATATATATTTTTCTTTTCTGTCTAATTTCCAATGTATCAAGCACTTTTGTTCGATCGTGTGTCCAAAAACTTTGTTGGCAGTGAAAGGATAAAGTTTCATTTCTACCAATTTCGCAGGAATATCCTTCTCATAATTCAATTTACTCGATATGTGTATGTGTGTATGCGTGTTGTGTGTTTGCGTGAGCACAGTTTCCTTTTATGTTGTCGTTTCTGAAGAAGTTGACGAGGGAGTACGAAAGAAGGTCAATATTCTTATGATTCAAATCTTCGTTTCGGAAGTTTGTTCGGGAGCAGGTGCAGTCTCGAGCTTGCAACTCTCGGAGATATCCTCAAGAGGTGTCCCCGTTTCGAGGATCTCTAATTTCCTTTCCTGATCCATCTTATCCAACTCGTCTTTGCTTAAATGATAAACTATTCCAGCTCCGTATCCATCACCCAAAACGTTTATAGATGTCCTGATTCGATCCCTTCAAATAATCAAACACGATAGTCACTCGCCTCGTTTCTCGTTTATCTCAATTTAACTTAAGGGTGTATTCTGGTCTAGACGTTTGAAAAAATCGATGTTTTTTTTTAATTTTCTTAAAGTATACGCCTTCGAAAATAATCCTGCAACAGGATTCGTTCGAATTCGTAAAAATTTACGAAGTTACAGCTGTTTGAAGAGTACAGCTCGCAGTTGTAGTTCCAATCGTAAAACTTTAAACGCGTTTTTCTGGAAACCTCATTTTTTGACTTCAAATTTGGACAGAATCTTCCGTAGAAGTGTCGCTATCGCACAAACCTCGTTTTTTAAAAAAATATCGACTTTTTCATAGTTTTTTAGTATGCTGTAGACTAAAGAAATGCGAAAAAATCAATACTCGAAGTTCAAAGTACCGTCATTTTCTTAATTATCGAGATTTTTAATTTATTGGAGGTTCCCACGATAGCCACATTCATACTAATCAAGCTGCTATTTTATTTTTTTGTGTCAGATTTACGGAACGGCCGGAATCATGCATACCAGCATGACACGTTTCTTCTTTTTTAACTTTGTTAAGACAAACACAGCTCGTCTAATTTTTATTATTTTCGCTTTAAAAAATTAATTTGTATACTTTAAACGTTGATAAATATATGTGCCAAAATCCACATAAAAAAGTTTTACGGTTTCCCTGAAAGAAAATCCCGAAAGAACTGCATTCTACACCAGAATACTCTTGAAGAACTTACAACATCCAGTCGACTGCAAATAGCAAAGAAACATCGTTCGTAGGTAGACCCAGGGCTGTGAGTACTATTAACATCGTGATCAAGGCAGCACTTGGAATACTCGCTGCCCCTATACTCGCCAAGGTAGCTGTGAGACTATCCAGGTGAAGGAGAGCCGTAAATAAATGATACACCCGCATAGTACTCTCTAAACATCGATCATACGAACCTCACTGTTATAACATCGCCCATTCCTAACGAGATTCCATTCAACTGAGCGATAAAAATCGCGGCAACAGCTTCGTAAAGAGCTGTTCCATCCATATTCACCGTAGCCCCGACTGCTACCACGAATCGCGTAACACGTGGGTCGATTTTATTGTTCTCTTCCAAGCATCGAAAAGTTATAGGCAAAGTTGCAGCGCTGGAAACATGACAAATCTTGTGTATATCGTACAATTCTCTCGAATTTTTTGTGAACGAAGCATTTCTGCCGTTTAATGTAAAAGTGGTGTAAGTGAGAAAAGTAGAATTTTGGATAACGAGGGATAAAGTAAAAATTGTGTAAAATTGCCCCGAATTTTGCCCCGAAATTTAAGGTACAGTGAATTTTTTAAAATTGAACCTAACGACTTGAGTTCTTTTTTCGAGAAATTAGAAGGATTGGTATACTAGAGGAGGTGTGTAAAAAATTTGGAAAAAATTGCAATTTGTGGGAATCGCGAAGAAAATTGTAAAGGTCACCGTTTATTACTGTTTTATCTGAGCTTGTAGTGAAAATTTGAAACACACGTTTTATAGATCTACGTGAATTATACACATGCTGAAAATTTCACCGAAATCGGTTGATGGAGAGACAAGCGACAGGCGTCGAAAGATCCTTCGGATTTATTACAGTTACAGGCCGAAAATCGTGAAATAGTGCGAAGTAGATGAAACTTTCAGCAAGTGTATAATTGACATAAATCTACAAAACGTATTTTTTAAATTTTTATTACGAGATCAAATAGAGAAGTTGTTAAATGTGACCTTTACAATTTTCTTCGCGATTTCCACAAATTGCAATTTTTTCCAAATTTTTTCCACACGCCCTCTAGTACACTAAACTTTCTAACTTCTCAAGAAAACTTAAGTCGGTAGGTCGAATTTCAAAAAAGTTACACTGTTCTAAAGAGTGTCCGAATATTAATGGGAGTCGCTGTATATGTATAATCATTTTATTTGATACGCAATTGCACCATCCTTACTTATTTCGCCATCCGTTATATACTTAACACCACTTCTGCACAAAACAGAACAAAAGTTCAACTTTCGAGATCCGGTGTTAAGTAAAACAGTGAAAAAATTGATTTACCCCACTTTTGCATTAAACGGCTAATTTGTTTCGACTAAAACTATCGTATTACTACCTCGACGCTGTTCCCAATGCGGTAACCCAAGCTTGCATCATACCCCTGAAGAACACTGCAGGATTCTGTCGAGTTATGAACCAAAATATCATCGGCAAAGTGATTATAGAGTGAATCAATAAGCCCAGGACAACGGTCAACATGTACAAACCCAACATCTGAGCGGTCGCAGCCAGATTGTTTATCGACATTATTTTCCCAGCTATCAGACACATGATTCCAAACGGAGAGTACCTATATATACGACATTAAAACTCCAACCCATCCTCTCATATTTTTCTTTTCTTTTTACTTCTTTTTTTTCTGTCATTTTTAACTTATCGTTATAAATCTAGACGAGCAGCAAGGGAATACAGTACATACACTACCAAGCGTGAAATAAAGTTGTATCTCGATCGCTCACCACATCACAATAAGACTGACGAGCTTCATAATTATTTCGTTCAGTACCACGAAGAAGTCGACCATCAATTTTCCTTGAGGACCAATCTGTCCAGCGAGAAGGCCGAACGTGATGCAGAACATTATCATTCCCATCACGTTCGTCCCATCCCTGTATATTAACGTCGGCTCTAGGACTTGATTACTTCGATTTGTGCTTCCAATCATCACCACTTCCTTCGTCACGTAATTGGTCTGCGCCTGTTGGAAGCATGCCTGCACCAAATTTTCCGGCACCATGTTTCTGCAAACGATATTCGCGTCTGTTCAGAACCGACAACCTCGATCATCCTCTGTACACGGTGTCTCGTAACTGGTGGTACGAGCGAGCAGAGCGTGAAGAAAATTTTTTCACACGAGGCTCTGTTTCCGAGAAAATTCAATTTAAATATTCGCTATAAATTTTACGTTGATAAACAGTGGTAATGTGAGGGTAAAGCTAGAAGAAAGAATGGTACAGGCTTTCACAGAACCTGAAGTGTCAAAATATCGTATCATCGCGATGCATCGGTCCATAACTCGCCGATTTAAAGAGCAAAGATTTGTATGCGTTAACGGACGTTACTTTCAACAATTCGATCAGTCGGCATCGCCGATTTAAAGAGCAAAGATTTGTATGCGTTAACGGACGTTACTTTCAACAATTCGATCAGTAATGCAAATTTAAATTAACGAAAGCGTTGATAAATGTATTATCGATACTTTTCACGAGATTAGTGTCGTTTATCAGTACAAACGTGAAGCCGGGAGCACGCGTACTCGACAAATCTTCAAACTTATTTTTCTCGAAAACGAAGCTTCTTACCAACAAATTTTATTCCACATTTTCGATTCAGTTTCTCACGTAGAATCACCCTCTGCTCGCTTCGCTGCACCAGTTTTACGGGACACCCTGTGTATACACGGTTTCACCTACCTAATTATATCGAGGATAGCGTCTAACGTAGAAATTTTAATGTAGTCCGCTTTCGGCGCTGTTATGGTCGTTTTAATCCTAGGATCACCCGGTTGGATCATCAGTACCATCACGATACCGACTATAGCAGCCAGAACGGTCGTCACCGAGTAATATACCAACGCTCTGAATCCCATTCTTCCCGAACCTTTAGGGTCCAACTGTGCCATGCCTAGAAAAAAGGGAGAAACGTTGACCTAGACTAGGTGACTAGGCGAATGGATTTACAGGACGTTGCATAATCACCGGAGATAAGAGACGAAACGATCAACGGTAGTATGAACATCTTCAACGATCGCATAAGGACCTCTCCTGGGAAACTGACGAGAGTAATGACCTGCGGCGAAGGACTGGCCAATCTACCGAGAAATCCAAGCATAAGACCCACCAACACTCCGCCGATCGTTAACACCAGAAGCATGTTCTCACCGAACCAATCCACTACCTGCATATATGTACATATTTATGTCCAAAATGTCAGATAGAATTTTAAGGGAATTTTGCAGAAATTCTATGGATGCTACTAACTTTTTGCAATCTGTCAAGCGGTGTCACCTTCTCGTGAACCTTTTTCTCCTTCACAGGCGTGATCTTCTCGATCTCGTCGGAAGATGAGCTAGAAATTGATCGGAATTTAAACTGTTACTCCATATAAACGAGAGATCCGTGGAAAATTGAAGAAGACTCGTGGAATCTTACGTGTGGGCTTCTTTAACTTCCGAAGTGCCACGGAGGACCGCGACAGCTCCAGATATGCGTTGACCCAGTGTCATCTTGGTCAATTTTTCCTAACACGTCACTTTTCGATCTTTCGAACAGCCTTCCTCTGGGCACGAGGACTCGGTCTCTGTCATCCCTCGGCTTTCACCGCCATGATATCTGTTTGTTTTCCCAAAGGCAAAAATCGTCACTGCTGGTAAATTGGTATTTTAACAATGCAAACACTAGACGTCTAACTTAAACCAACAAATCCTAATTGGCAAACGAAAAATCGTACGGTCTGTTCGTGCAAATTGCACGAAATCCTTGTAGACGATTTTTTTTTAATTAGAAGGTAATACCGAAGTGTCTAACGAAAAAAGAATCGGGGAATCGAGACAGATGATCACATCTGAATCCCTGGGTAGCAGCTGATGCGCACACCGTTTCAGGATCACTGCACCGATACGACGGAATCGTACAACAAGCTAAGTGACATCCGTAACAGTGGATCTTGGGGGGTCTTTTACGCGCAATGGACTGCCGAGTGACGACTACCGTATGATCGAATACCCAGGACTTGGCTAGGTATCGCGACGTTACGATCTGCACATCACGTAGATAATATGCCCCATCCAGGAAGTTGATTAGAGGCTTGCGAGGAGGCGGAGGGTGAACACCGTAAGAGCGGAGAGCGAATGAGCGAGACGGTTGGATGTTGAAGAGAGAGACGGTTAGTTGCAGGAAGTGGGCACTCATCAGAACGGGTCGCACGGCACTGAATAAGCAGAAGGGAGAAAAATGTGTACCACACGCGACTGTTTCGTAGAAATAGACCCGTCGTCTCTCTATTGGATCCACGGTGTCGGTTAAATTGCTCCAAATGGAGAACTTCAACGGGTTCATCCCTTCGCTGGCAACCCTTTTATAGACGAATCGTACGAATATGTTAGGAATGTTGTATGTTGTGAGATGTTTTCACATTTCGTAGGTGTTCATTTTTTTTTTTTTTTTTTTTGGATTCTTGTCTTTTTGTTGGAATCTTTTTGGGTGAAGGTGATGATCCGTCGTTATCGCGTTGCTACCCTTGGTCCTTGCGAGAATTCCTGGGCAAGTCAAGTAATTTTTAGAGAATGCCACCTAAAAATTCATATTCGCATTTTAGTTACCTGTTGTTGTCGAATTTGAATTGTTTGTATAATCAAGATAATGTAGAAAAAAATTAAGTAATTCCTCTGTGCGTTTTAGCAAGTGTTCCCTAAAATTCGCTGAAAATTCTCCCGAAAAATCGCTGAAATTTTAATTGTTTGCAAATTGAGACAATGTACAAGAAAATGAAATAAGTAAATCCTCTGAGCTCTTTGGCAAGTGCTCCCTTAAAATCGCTGAAAATGCTTACCATCGCATTTTAATTGGCTGCTCTTGCCAAATTTGAATGATTTGCGAATCAAGATAATAAAGAAGAAAATAAAATAAGTAGGTAAATCCTCCGACCTTTTTAGCAAATACTCCCTAAAAATCGCTAAAAATGCTCACCATCGCATTCTAACTGCCAAATTCTGAATTACTTGCAAATCATGTTAATAAAGCAAAAAAACATCCTCCGAGCTTTTTAGCAAATGCTCCCTGAAAATCGCTAATCCTAAAAGGGTCAATGAAAGCTAGAAAACACCATTGACGACAATTGAGATATTTGATTGGTAGATTGATCACAGTTTCAAGGTGTCTTGCAATCTCTTCAAGTCTTCCAGTATCCAAGCAATTCTTTTTACCAGAACGTTTTAAGAAAAAAAAATGTCTAATTGCTCTTTAAAAGGCGTCGCGTTGCATCTTAACTGCAGCTACTACGTTCCTTCTATCAAACTATACGTATACACCGAAGAGAAAGGCGTGGTTGTGAGCATAAACGGCAGTATGGTCCCGTGTGTATGCACGTGCCACTTGTAAGACTAGTTAATTTCACCGAATCAAAGACAACATTGAAATTTCTATTCAACAATATCTAGTTAACTGAAACGGTAGATTTTTACATTGCATTCTCTGCAAAGATTGAAAGAGACGGACTTCTCCTCTATCCGAGATGATTTTAACAGGCAATTTCAATCTGTACAACCTTGGCCAATATACAGAATTGTGGAAAATGCATTAATACAAAATGCATTGTCACGTTGCCACACACGCGAGAGTGTGTGCACACGCGTTCTGTTTATTAAATTAGCAAATAGACTATTTGCATTCGTACGTCGAAGTACACCGCGAGATACATAATCAATCGTAATCCAGCGGTGGATTTTCCCGTGATTACTTTCGTCAGGAATGCAGATCAGAATTGGAGCAGTTCACGATGGATTACTTTGAAAGCATGTAGGATACGGGCCAATTTGTAGGGCCCCTTTGTATATCCGTTGAGAGGTAACCTAATTTCTTCGGTAATGATGGCTATGAGTGACTACATGCAGACTAATATCGGGTTCACGGTAGATCGTGCAGATCTACAATACGAGTATAAGTTATCGGAACCTCTCGAACGTGTGCTCGATATTTCATTCTACCGGAGTGTACGAAATGAAAAATGTGCTCGTTAACGATGAATTTCAGTGTGAAAAAATTCATAGGTGAATTTACCAGAGACGTTATTTCAAGGTAAATTATTCTTCTTTCAATTCTTAATTTACGTAGTTACTCGGTCACATCGTCCATTTGACACACATATGCAAAAAAGAATCTAAAGTGAATTTGCGAAAAACGAGAAATGCAGACGTGTTGCACCATTTAGATAGCATCAATACCTATTTCACAGACATATTTTCAAGATGAAGTGGGTGGACGTGTTCCTTAAAAAGAAGAATAGTCCTGGACCAAACTCCACTTGCAAATCTCTCGCCGAAGTGAAGAGGTTCTAGAAGAGATTTCGCTGATTTTTGAGGAGACTCTGCAGTTTTGAATTTGACATACTTTCGTTTCTTAGCATCGCTAATTAAGCAATCACGGTGAAAAAATATGTTGAGTGAAATTATACCGAAAATTTTGATATTACTGACCGCGATTAACGTGGTTTATGCGTATCGCAAAAGTTCGTGGTGGAACGGTGAAAATGCGCAGAGACAAGGGTAAGATCACATGAAGCGATTAAAGTCATAGTGTAAGTCACAATTTCCTCATTCTGAAAAACAGAGAATATTATTAAAACTGATAAAAATTAAAAAGAAAAAGAAAATTCTCTCCCAATTATAACTTACTTCACTTGTCTTTTCAACAATTTCGCATATGTAGATTGCATTTCACCACTTAGGTCCAAATTTTCGAAAATGTCACTTACGCCACTGTTTTTTTTTTTTCTTTTAATTTCAATCAATGTAATAATTGTATTTATTTTTTTCTCTAACGCAGACCTAACGTGTGTGCGGTAGAAGTAAACGACGACATAAGTTACACTTATTACACGGAGAGCCAGGAATGGAATCCTCGGAAAATTTGCGGCAAGCCTACGTGAGCATAAATTCCAGTTGCTCGTAATACGGGCGCTTATTTAAATACTCTTCGGTGGTTTCATTTGCTTTGCAGATTTGTAAAATACGAATGCTGCGCGGGATATTATAGAGTCCCTGGTCGTCCTGGATGCACCGGCGGTAACGAATGCAATTTACCTCGAACTGCTTGTACATTTTATCGAGCCACTTCTCATTCATTATTTATGTTTCAGTGAAACCATTGATAAATCTCATTGAAACAACACGACGTGTTGGTTCGACGAAATTCGCCAAACTGATGGAAAGTTCGAGATTCGCGGAAGAATTGAGAAGCGGACCTCCCTTAACTATCTTCGTCCCTTCTGATGACGCTTTTGAAGTACGCGTGATTTATCGGACGATTGCAAAAGTTCGTGCCCGATTTTCAAAAGTGGCGAGAACCTTATCGACTTCGGCACAGATGTTTCTTTCAGCGTAATGTTACATTCCTATCGAAAAATACACCGCTTGTGTTTTATTTTCAAATAATTATTCGTTTGAAGCATGTGTGCTTTTGCACACACCGATTGTGTTTTATTTTCAAATCGGACGCGAACTTTTGCAATCATCCAATACGTAGACATAACTTAGCTTTCAATTTTGTTTATTTTATTTATTCTTGTTACTTTGCAGAACTATCTGAAGTTAAAAGGAATTAGACAAGATTGGCTGTACGACGGTAATAGATACGTAAATTTGATCGCGAATCACATAATAGACAGACGTTTATTGTCGAATCAATGGCAAGTGAACGTTTTAATTCCATCGAGATTACAAGGGAACGTATTGAGAATTAATAAATTTTCCAGCGGGGTACGTGGCATATCGAAACTGCATATATATTTAGCTACGAACGATTTATTCAATAATATTTCATCGTTTGCGAGCAGATGGAAACGGTAAATTGTCATCGAATTATTCGCAAGGATCAAATTGCCAGTAATGGAGTTGTGCACGTAATCGACGGGGTTTTGGATCTTGCTTTGGCGCAGAATTCAGATATAATTGAGCTTGCGTCCAGCGACGGTAGATTCGAAATATTTACAAAAGCCCTTGAAAACAGCGAATTGGGAAACCGGATTAGATTCAGCGAAATACCCTGTACTATTTTCGCTCCCACCGACGATGCTTTTCATAATATACCTGAAAAGCAATTGAGCGATATGTTTGAAAATCCAGATGCGTTAAATGGTACATATTTGTACGAGTGTACAGTTTACCTATATTCTCGTTCATTTTATAATACGTGTGTTATTTCGTTTAGCGTTAATTGCTCATCACATCGTGACGCATCCTGTATGTGTGCCAAATATCATTTCGGAATATCGCGCCGATACGATGCAACGACAGGAATTAACGTTAAATTGTGGCGCACACGGGCCGATCGTAGACAATGCAAATTTGCAAAGCGAGATGTATCATGGGAAAAATGGACTGATGTACGTTCTTGATCGTGTCTTGCTTCCGGATCGAGGTAACGAATCTTCTCTTCTTTTCCAACGCATTCAAAAATATTTCACTGTCTCCTGTTTTCTTTTTTCCTTTTATCGTCGATCACGTGCGTGTACTCCACAGCTAAAACAGTTTTGGACGTGTTGAACGAGGAAGGACTGCGTACATTCTCCGAAATAATTAAAACAGCTGAGCTGGAAGAAACATTGAGACATTTGAAACACTTCACGATGTTCGCTCCATCTGAAACGGCGATGTATTGTACGTACCGGAGTAAAAAGAACGTTTCGTTCTTTGTTTGGTTCTTAGTGTAACGTGATCTCTTGCAGCACTGCCGAATCAACAACTTGTAGAACTTGGAAGGAATCAAAAGAGCGCTCGAGATTTTGTTCTGAATCACGTGGTGACTGGAACGTATTTCACTAATGAAATTAGCAGTAATCAAGTAGGTTCAGGTGTATACGCAATCAATTTTTCATTCGAGAATGTTTAAAACTTTCGTTCTTTATAGGTCGCTAGAACGCTCGAAATAGGTGTTCCTTTGCGATTCCAAGTTTATCGCAGTAATTTTGGAATAGAAAATGCGCTGATTATAAAAGCTGACAGAGAATGTAGCAACGGTGTTCTACACGTTATCAGTCACATTTTGCATCCTGCACAGGAATCTTTGGATTATATCTTAAAAAGAGAAGGCAATTTCAGGTACACTTTTTCTTTATTCTCTAAAATTCGACGAATGTGTAGGAAATAGAAAAAATATACAATTCTTGCAGCATTTGGTTAGACGCAATGGAAAGAATTAAAAATGTTCAACCACAGATCTACGATCAATTTAAACGTGAAAATTCTTCGTGTACATACTTCGTTCCTTCAGATGAAGCATTCAGGCAACTTGGAAGTGCGAAACTTCAAAAATTGTTGGAAGACAGAAACTATTTATCAAAGGTATCGATATCTTCACGTTAAAAAGACGACAGATTTTTAGATGACAATGTTTTTCTTCGTTCGTTTTCAGACATTGCAAAATCATATCGTGGATAACATGCTACTTTCCGAAAGTTTTATACCTAACCTACAGTACACTGTTAGAACTAAAGGCAATCCGATAAATATTGTGAGAAAAAACGACAGAGTACTGGTAAATCATTTTTTAAGGATTTAATAGAAATGACAAATAATGTACGTTTTGTAAAATTGAAACTTCATTTCAGGTAAACGATGCAACTCTTGTGAAGAGCGATATTTTGAATAAAGCTGGAATTGCACATGAAATAAACACGGTACTACTGCCTGACCAATGTTCTTCAAATTATAGAAGACAACACGATGGCTCTATGAGAAAAGTTTGTGTTTAAATAGAATAATTAAGGGGCAGTATATATAGTTTACGTCATTTAGTTGTAACAGTGTATAATGTAGAATTAACCAAGTAACAATGTATAAGCCTATATTATATGAAATATATATACACACCTATAATCAACAAATTAAAAAATGTGTCTATTTTGTAATTTTGAAATTTTTTACTTTCATTGATGGCATTTGAAAGCTAGTTATTTTCTGTTATCTTCGTACGGTTGGCTATACTTGCAAATACGTTTTCTTATAAATATTATGCCGGCATTATGTACGTAATTATATGTCATCATGACACTTGCATTAAAACGGGAGAGATACAATTTTTTTAACAGTCTTGCTATTTTGTTGAAAGCTGTTGAAAATGAACGTACGACTATAGATCTTCGAAATGAAGCATCAATTTACGGGATCGTAGAACAGGCAGACGCGTAAGTAACTTTCGTTTGTATCTTATCATTATTGGTTTAATACACTATAAATGTTTTGCTTTTTTTTTTGTAGTTTCATGAATGTCGTAATGAGGAATTGCGTCTTCACAGATCCTAGAGGGGATTCGTACAGTTACGACATGTTTTTCGTCCAGGCAAGAAACATCCGTTTCGTTCATATTCCGCCAAAAGTAAGAGTAATTTTTAAATATTTATTCTTTCGTAATATTTTTAACAAAATTGTTCTACGTGTTTCTTTAATTTTTGATTATAATATTGCATGATAATTGTATATAAACCTTATTACGTTCGAAACGTTCGAACCATGTACGTTATCAGTATTCGAAATAGGTTATTTTTAACTTACTGTTGTGTGCGTGTTATTTAATATATGTATGTTTTTATATCAACATGTTTGTGGAGAAAAGTGTCACAATAAAACAAATTATCATTCTGGTCCTACATATGTGCGGAACATTATTAACTTGTTGTCTAGGTACTTTTGAATTCATAAGTTGCTTATATATATATATATATATTGACTGATTAAAATTTGAAGTAAACAGATTTTATTCTTGAGCAAACATTGTTTGCACGTAAATGAAATGTACATGCATGAAGATATGCACAATTGAATTAAGAAATGATAAGAACTTGGCATTCACTTTATAAATCATTCAAGTCTTGCTTGCAAGTCCAGAATTGTTTGAGCTATAACATAAGTGATAAATTAGAATTTTTTACATATTTTTGGACTCCTGTAAATTTTAAATTTTATAGTACAACAGTGTCAGTTACTCCATCGACAAAAGTCAACATGAGTGCATTTAAATTCCTTGATTATGATTGTATTGGATTTGATTTAGACAATACACTTTTACGTTACAATGTGACAAACATGGTGCACTTAGTATATCAAACTTTAGCCGATTACCTAATAAAAGAAAAAGGATATAATTCAAAATATTTATTAAAACCACTGGAAGACAAAGATTTAGATTTTATGCAAAAAGGATTATTCTTAGATTTTGAAAGAGGCAACATACTTAGAATAAATGCTGATGGTGTCATTCAAAGAGCATGCCATGGAACTAAATTATTAAGTATTGAAAAGATTAAAGAGATATATCCTGAACAAAGATGGGAAGCCACAGATGCTTTTTGTAATGATATGTTATCAACATGGAATGGTCCTATATCAATGAGAATGAGAAGTTTGTTAGATTATTTTGATGTCTCCTCGTCTCTTACTTTTGCAAGATTAATAGATACACTTGATAAGGAACAAGGAGGACCTTTAAATGCATATAATGTTTGGCCTGATATGTTAGATGGATTGATTGAAATGTATGACAGAGATCATTTTAAACTAGACAGAGGACACTTTTTTCCTAGTATAAAAAGTCATCCTGATAAATACATGTACAAGTGTACTACAAGAACTAAAACCTGGCTTAAAGAGTTAAAAAAACATCGTACTACTTTTCTCATCACTGGTTCAAATGCTGATTTTGTTGATTTTACTGCTACTTTTGTTCTTGGAGAGGATTGGAAATCTTTATTTGATATTATTATTTGTTATGCAAGAAAGCCTGGCTTCTTTAATGAAAATCGTCCATTCCTTCAAGTTATAAATTATGAAGAAGGTGATATAATAGAAAGTAAAGATTTAAAAAGGGGTGGGATGTATAGCCAAGGTAATTGGAAAGGACTTATTGAATTCCTTGGATATGTATCTGATAAACAAAACCCTCGTTGTTTATATGTTGGTGATAATCTTGTGCAAGATATTTATGTTCCAAATTCATATGCACAATGTGATACAGTGGCTGTAATTGAAGAACAAATGTCTGAAGGAATGGTTCATCAAAGATTATCACATCCAGATGAAAAAGTATTAAATTCAACATTTTGGGGTTCTTATTTTTGTTTAAAAGATTCTAGAATTAATATGGACTCCTTATGGGGGTCTGTTATAAAAAAGTATTCAAAACTTTGCATACCTGAAATCGATTTAATAGCTCAACTGCCATTAGAAGAATCTTATTTGTGTTTTAGTAAGGATGGAATGAAATATGATGGATATTATCCTGCAGTACCACTTAGTATATCAACATTTTAAATTCCTAAATGTATTACTGCCATAAAAATAGTTTTCAGCAACTGTTGAATGAGAGCTTTATAGCTTTATGTTACACATTTGTATGTAGTAACATGAGAATGCCATATTTATAGTGTATTCTCAATTTAAGATACGTATTATACCAGCTATCAAGGAACAGTTGCAACATTTACTAAGGCACAAGTTGGATTTAAAACATACGAAACGTACAGTGAGAACAAAACGTGTTGAACAAAGGCAACGAGAAGGATTAGCTGCAGTGGAGAAAATTTTAGAAGATAGAAAAAAAGCAGAGCAAAGTTTGAACAGAAATGAAACTAACTAAAAAATAAATCATAATAAATTGATATCTTTAGAATATATTTCTTTACAATTCAATTATTCATTTACAAAAATAAGTTCTATATAAACATGCTTTGCACAAAGTACTATACAAGTTTAATGTAACAATGATTGCTTTGTACAAATTGTAAATACAATTGACAAATGTAATGTTAAAAGCTAACACTAAACAAATACAAATAAAACAAATTTATACTCTTACATTTGTGTTAGTACTTAACTGTTATAATATAAAATAAATGATACTATAAATGTATGTTTTTAACATACTATTATAGTTTTAAATATTTTTTATATCAAAATTAATTAGCCTGTATTATAATACAAAAAATGTTTAATAATTTATAATAAAAACATTTTTTCATAATGATTCAAGAATATAACAAAACTTGTATGCGATATACCCTGTTACCTGTGTCGCACACTATAGTGTGAATTCTAAAACACGCGAATATAAATTGTACAGCGATGTAGCTGAAGCAATGAACCAAGAAACTCGATAACGTATATATCGTAAACTGTCATTGACTACTATTTGCAAATGCTCGTTTAAATAAATATTTATCCTCGATGCTACGCATCGAAACATTGCTGAGGTGTAAAAAAAAGCAAATACTTGGTACCAATCAAATTTATCCTTAATTAATTTTATATAGAACCATTAATCTAATTGGAGATTATTTGATAAAAACATGTTAACATTGAATAATGAATATCAACGACATTAGAACATTCATACGTTTCTCTCCGCTCAAACATTCTAAATGTGATATTTTGCAATAAAAGAAAATAGTAAAACGTTAAAGTTATTATTATTATTATTAGGTTTTTATTGTTAATAAGTTTATTTATTATTTTATAAAACAACAACCAAGAGCAGAGTGCTTTAGCGCTCCACGGGCGACAACTTTATCAAATTCTCCAAGTATCCATGCAACAACCCACATACTACTGGATTATGAAATTACAATTGCAGGAAAGTATTTAAAAACAGATCGATATGCGAGGTATTGATTGTGAAGTGTGCGGATTAATGAGTTATGCGAGTTGCTGTGAACGTCTTGAATATTGATTTTTGAAAAGAAAGTTAGTCAGTTATGTTAAAAACGTCAAAGTGACAAGACGTATAAAATAAAGGAAGCATTTTTAATTAAAATTTTTGATTTATTAACTACATATAAATGGCTATATATAATCGGCTGCGTATAAATGGCAATAAAATTCTATTTAGTCAGATAAAGTATCTGTTATGTTCTTTCAATAGCAATTGCTATTCCCATTCCTCCACCAATACATAAGGATGCAACTCCTTTGCTTCCACCTGTTCTCTCCAAGGCATGTAATAAAGTAACTAATATCCTAGCACCTAAAACAACATACTCAAGTGTACTAAAAGTATTATACATAGCATATTCAGTGATTTTAATGTCTTGCTTACCAGATGCACCAATAGGATGACCTAAAGCAATAGCTCCTCCATTTATATTAACTTTATCAGGATCTAAACCAAGTTCTCTGACACAAGCTATTGATTGTGCTGCAAAAGCTTCATTCAATTCATATAAATCCACTGTTTCTTTAGTCCATTTTGCTTTTTTTAACTAAAATATTGATATTCCTCTTATTGCATGAATAAAAAGCAATATATTGTTAGTAAACCTTTATGTACTAACCACTAAATTTACTGCTGATATAGGACCTACACCCATAAGTTTTGGGTCCAGTCCACTTTCAGCTACTGCAACAATTTTAGCTAGTGGTTTAAGTTTTCTTTCTGCAGCCTTCTCTGCTGTCATAAGAACTACTGCTGCTGCTCCATCATTCATACCAGAAGAGTTGCCAGCAGTAACTGTACCGTCAGTCTAATAACAAATCACTATTATAAAACCTGAGTACTTTAATTTATGATGCAAATATGTAACTAATCATACTTGTACAAAAGCAGGTCTTAATTTTTGAAGACTTTCAATAGTTATTCCAAATTTAGGATATTCATCTTTATCTACAATAATAGTTTTTTTCTCAGTAGACACTGTTATGGGGACAATTTCTTTATTAAAGTATCCAGCAGTAACTGCAGCTTCTACTTTTTGCTGAGATTTTACTGCATACTCATCTTGTTCTTTTCTATTTATATGAAACTCCTTAGAAACATTTTCAGCTATATATAGAACAAATTATACATAATTATAACAAATACATTTTCATGCAAGAAAAAGGTATATTAATTATAGCTTTTATACCTGTTATTCCCATATGAATTCCATGAAATGCATCTGTTAAGCCATCAAACACTAAACTGTCTACTAAATTACAATTTCCCAGTTTCATACTTCTAATGTATGACACATGTTGAGCCAGACTCATATTTTCCTGACCACCAGCTACAACTATTTTGCTTTCTCCAGCTTTTATGGATAGATAGCCATTTATAACTGCTCTAAAATATGTTTCTTTTGTCAAACATATGTAGAATAATACTGTATAAAGGAATTTAAATTTTACAGCAGTCTAATAATAACATTAAGTTATTGATGTCCTTCCACATGTAATTAGTATTGTTTTTTGTTTACGATTTAAAAAATTTGGAACTTTATATTTACTTTAAACCAGAACCACATAGCATATTAATTAAATAAGCAGGTACATGTATAGGAACACCCGCTTCTATTGCTGCCTGCCTTGCTGGATTTTGTCCTTGACCTGCAGTTAATACCTGCAATACAAAGTGTTTCACATATTTTAAAAGCTTCAACTTCATTCAAATATTAACATAACATAAATTATTTATAAGTATTATCTATCTACATATTTTGTGCATATTCTTTTTAGTATTCTTACAGTTAAGATTTGGAAAATCTATGCAATAAATAATTCAAACATGTTATGCAGAAATAGATTAAATCTTCAAATTACCTGACCAAGTATAACTTCAGAAACATCTTTAGGTTCAACATGTGCCTTTGCAAGGCTTTCTTTAATAACAGCACTTCCTAAATCTGACGCTTTTACTGATGATAAGGCACCACAAAAGGATCCTAAAAGTAATAAAACATTTTATAATGCAATAAGGAAAATTGGAAATTAATTGTTCGAGTTCTAATAACTTCATGTGTTTCATAGTATGTAATTAAAAATGTTGCAACAGTATAACATATTCACTATTTTCATAAAACTTTATTTTATGTCAATTATTTTCCAAATAAAAGTGATGTGAACAACTTAAGTGTACATGTGCAAGTTTATAATGTGGTTGTTAATTAAAATTTATTTAATTTATTACGTTATAATTAAAGTAGCAGGAAGAATATATTAGGTGAACTATTTTGTAATGGAAAACGTTATTATTATGTTTAAGATAAGAGTTAATAAACTGAATTTATTTTCAAGTATTCTGACGTTTAATCCCTCAGCGACGGCCTGACGTACGGACTGTCATTTCGTTACGCACGGCCGTTTCTTCACATGTTACTAGAATCCATACATTGTATAGACTTGGATTGCTTCTTCTCTTAGCTTTTGAGGCTTATGTTAAATTAATTTATGTTAATACAATATACCAACGCATTTTCTGTAAGTTTTTCGTCTATACCTTTTTTTTACATTTTCACTTTAAAAACATCGTTAGATTTAACAAATGTGTACTTATTAATTCGTTTTTAACTTAAAATAAACAATATTTGCAATTTTAGTAAAAAAAATAGTTAGTAGAGAAAATATAAATATTTTTACAACATAGTGTACAGTGTGTGACATGTTAATATAAAATTAACATAAACACTGGAACACTAGTAACAAATTAATATTAACACTGGAACACCAATAACAAATTGATATTAACACTGGAACACCAATAACAAATTGATATTAATACTGGAACACTATTAACAAATTAGTATTAGTGTTCCAGGATTCAAAATGTAACACTTTTTTCGGATTACGTATGTCTCTCCGTTCGTATGAAGAGAATAGTGAATGCGTCTTCCGTCGCTGAGAGTTTAAGTTTGCAAGGAATAAATTTATACCTATTGGAGTTCTGACTCCGGATACAATTACAACGTCGTTGCCACTCATGTTGAAAACTTCTTAGAAATCACGTCTAAACCTGTGGAAAACCGAACGAAGACTGCCGCCACGAATCGATATAACGGAAATATGTAAGCAGCTGAAGTGCCTGCGACGCGTGTCAGTAACGGCTTAATGAAAGTGTGTCAAATGAAATGTAGGCGCATTCTTTCGTAGATAGTTCCGTGTATGACTTGTTGAATATTTTTTAGTACGTTTTATTCATGTTTAAAACGTAGTAAACGTTCTCCTTAATTTCAAATTTCCGAAAAAATGTTTAAATTATAAAAATTCACAACGTCGATGTTGTAACTTTAATCGAACGGTAAGATCTAATTTGCGAAAGAACTGTATCGCAAAGATTATCGAGCGAAAGAATTTCATTATTTTTTTTTTACGTTTTCGAATTATATATTAATTTAAATGACTTGGATCGGAACCTTTGATGACTCATATGCGATACATCCCTGACAACGTCACCGGCTGGTTGACTTCTAATTCGGCGTACAGGTGGCGCTGAACCACCATTCGTGGTGTCGTGGTGGTGCTCGTTTGTTTTTACCCAGCGTGCATTGTGAACAGTGACTGGTGCTAAGATGGCCGACAACAAGGAGGAGATCTCGGAGCTCGTCGAAAAGCGAGGTATTTATTGCTGTTGTTCGATTTACTTGTCGTGATTACCGTTTAGAATAGAAGCTCGATATACGGCAAGTGCGTCGATGATCCCGAACGGACGATATGATCCGTAATTGCCATAAAAATCACGCCATCTGCACGCACGGTGCTTAGGAGGAATGATCGCGAAAATCGTCGTGAATATACGAACGAATCGGGCCTGTTTTCTGTGTCTGCCGCAATATTCACGGTGTTCGCGACAAGTTAATCTATGTTACACTGACAGGAACATGTCTGTCAACGGGACGTCAGTTTCAAGCAGTGCCAAACATGCCACCTTTTGACAGGCTACGTGCACAATCGGCTGCACGACACCCTTCGTACAGTGTGTAGTACGTGCGAGCAGACAGAATACCGTGTTCGTTCTCGTGTGTCCGCCTAAGCGCTATGCTCGTTACTCATTAAGGTCATACGCCGACGGCCTTGCAATTCGCACCGTCGCTGAAGTAATCTTACTCGAGATTACCGTTATCTCTTACCGCGAATTTACTGCCGGCTGATTCGTCTATAACACCTACACTCCGCTCCTGTGGTGCGCGCGTGTTGTCCATGGGTTAGGTTTCCGATCGCGGCACTTGAACGTCGACCACGGGGATCGAACGTTTTCACGGGAAGGTGCGACGTGGTGTTCGGCTAGTAAATCGTCTAGGCAATAAACACACGATGTCACGATGAATCGTCTTTTGCGAGAATCTCGTGGTAATCGATTGCCACCTGACGTTAAGCACTGCCGTTGCACCTCGTGGAATTTGTTCCTCGATATGTACGTGTACGTGTAACGCGTATCACCGGCGTTCAGATACATCGAGCACATGTTTCATTCGTAAATTTTCTTGCTTCTGAAACTCTGATAAGGCAGAGCATTCGTGCACCTTACGTGCACACGTTCTACGTTTTGTTTTGATGTTCGATAAAATTACCGTGTTTAGTGTAACACGTGGTGGTGCGTGCCTTTATAGACAATTTACCAGCCGTACTACACATTATGAGAACCGTTCATTCGATTCGTAATCTTTGTTTCTCTGTACGGCCAGCGTGTGTTTACCAGGCCTGTGCGTGTTTAATATTGTCATCCGTGAATGTGTGTATGTAGATTAGCGAACCAGTCATTTGCTCGATACGTGATTATCGTTCATTGGCCATCTACTGGCGTACACCATGTACCGACCGTTGTTTCTCGGATCGTTCAATGGGTAATTCCTTTTTTTTTTGCTTTTCCCTTTTTCTTCGCGTGAACGATATTTTCAGTTTGCATAGACCGTTTGCATTCACGGGGAGGAGGACACATTGGGCCACCGTGATTAGCATCGCGTAGTGATCAATCGTGATTTCTACTCGTCCCTGCTACATAATGCGATTAACTGTTACATGCATCGTGGCATTATGCGCCATGTCCTGCACTGGTGTATGCCTCTCGTTGCATGTCGAACCAGTTCCCATGCGTCTTTATTAGAATTTTCTCGGTGGACGTCTGTCTGGCTGCGCCTTTAATACGGATCAGTCGTGTGGCGTGCAGTCCAGTTCTGGACGAAAGAACGAGGATTTATACCAAAGCAATTCATTTCGGTGTGAATCGTAAGACGAGGCGCGCCCTGGTATCGCGTGACCGTCGTCCAATTCTTCGCAACATTTTTCCGTTAATAACCGCACTAATCCATTCGGTAGTTTCTTTGTATCCGTTGCTCTTCTATTTCGACGATATTCTAGAAAGCATTTGCGACGATAACGATCTTATGCAGACTAACAGATCAATATTCTCCTCCCTTGGTATTTTACCCGTGCTTATCGTTTCAATGAGCTGCTCTCCTGGTGAGCAGCGACGTGTGCTCTGTGTTTGTATACATGCTCGATTTAGACATTATAATGTTTTCATATTTAATGTCACTGTTGCGCTCGTGTGCCTTTTTTAACTTCACATTTTTCATTTCAAATACTTACTGTTATAATTTCAATGAAAATACCGTTGTAACGTTACAGTTACTTTTAAAGCTTCGATGTAGAAAATTTCAATGCATATGTTAATTTTTTTCTTTTTGCACGGCGAATAATTTATTATTCGTTAGTATGAGTTACGGGGCTTGAGCTTTATCGTGATACATCGTACACAGGCCAGCTGGCATTAGACATGCTCGGACGAATTTTAACGGAAGGAAGTCGGCCATTTATGCTCGTCCACGGATGTACGGCGGGCGTCTTCGGTTTTATCCGATTCCGAACGGCACTTGCCCGTTTTCAAAACATTCGCTCGACCCCTGCGCGTCATAAAGAACCTTCGGATGCACGTGGCGCACCGGGTAAAACTGTATTCGCTTAAACGTTCGCACGTTGCGTAGGAAGGTCTACGAACCGCGAACGAATAGTTGGAAAATAAGGTCGCTGGGTTTTATGAGTTGGTGGCGCTCTCAATTTTGCTACTAACAGCCTAGTTAATAACCGCCATGTAAATTATCTTTTTCCGGCTCAGCGGAAGTTACCAGGGATGCTCGATTTGAAACGTTCGTTTGAAAATTCCACCGTGTTATATCGCTATATCTATTTCTCACTTTTGCAATACATTTCGTATTTCTAATTTATCCACGCGACCTCCAACAGGCGTAGTTTTATAGAACGGTTAACCAACAAAAGAAAAAGAGATCTAGTTTAGATTCGAAACCACGGTCCGACGATTTGATTGGTCAAATTCGTTCTTCCTAATTAGCGGTAACGAATGCAGAATTATATGCGATTAAATCATAATCCGAAATTACCATCGGGCCCCGTTAAGCGGCGCACCGAGCGTCCAGAAGCACGAGCCACGACAAGGCTTATACGTATTACAATGTAAACGTGACTTTCTATGCGACGCGACACGGCGTCAATAAGCGAACGCCACGATAGATATTCCTCGATGATCTGCTCTATTTGCCGTGCCTGTTCGTGCGCTCTGGTATGGTGCGTGTTGGAAATAAGAAGAAAAAAAGAAATACCACGCGAACGCATCTCTCATATTTTCTATTAATATTGGTGACGGCGCATGCGCAGACTTTGCGGGACGCGACCACGCGCGTTCCTACAAAAATCGACGGAACCACGTCCCACGTTTCCCCCGTTTCACTGAGTTTTCTCTTGTATAAATAAGCTATAGATATCCAGAGTCGCGAAGGATGCAACAGATGACGGAGAGGATACTTAAGTAGGTTGCATTTATTTATTCGTGCTGGCGTAGAACCGCGTTTTACGGTAACGGTACATCATTGTTTTGGCGTGGTCAGAAGCCATGTTTTCGGATACGAGACGATATGTAACCAAACGTTGAAACGGCCAACAGCTTCTCTGTTTCCGTTTCTATCGCGTTCCCTTCTCTCTCTCTCTCTCTCTCTCTCTCTACCTCTCTCTACTTAACGATTCTCGTTTCATCCACGCATCCTTAAGCGGGCAAATTATCGACTTTCGAGGGTCCGGTAGCCATACCGTGCCGCAAATAATCGCCTCGTCTCGTTCCACTTTAGCCTCGAATATATTCGTATGTATCATATATATATACGCGCAGTTGTAACGTCAGTCGTTGTTAAATCAGACTCACACTGATAATCCTTGCTCTCTAACTGACATGTAAACAGACGCTTTTCATTCAGAACCATTGACGAGAGATATCTTATTCGTTTTATATAGCTGCATATTATTATTCTTCTGTTCCTTTCGAACGAGAGATCATTCTCCCGGTAGAAATTCACGGTTAATTTTGAAGCGTTCAACCAGTGTGCAGTAGCCTACTATGCAGAGCTGGAAAGAATGCTAGCTAGATGGCACGGGGGAGGTAGGAGGAGTAGTAGTGCATGGTACTCCCCGCTCGTTTCGCTCTTGAAGCCGTCTCACTTTAAGGTTTTTTTTTGGTGTCACACACTGACATAGTAGTAGGACGCCCGTATTTGAGGGTAATACGTTTCAAGGTTTACCGTGTATAAGTACACGAAACAGCAGGGGTATAGTCGGTGGAAGAAATATAGCGAGGTCGTAAATTGAAACATTAAGTAGCAGGCGGCACCGATTGATGTAGCGATACTCAAGGTTGCATACGGCATTTTACGTTTTTCTATTGAGATTAAATCAAAGTAAAGAACATTATTACTTCATGCAGTCTTTTACTGAGGTTTTCAGGTCTTTTTGTCGATTCGAAAAACTGTACGAGCCGAAGAAAAATTTGAGGGACCAAAGGGGAATTGAACCCGCGACCTCCGGGGCGGCAAGTCGTGACTCTACGCGCATAGCTAAGACGCGCTCTTCATTTCTCCCTTGTATTTCTCCTTTTGAAGAACATAGAGGTGCCCTCATGCCACAAAATTTTGACGCTTGACCAATTTTACGATCTTGCTATATTTCTTTCACCAACTATA